GCCCTGCCGCCCCGGCTGCAGCGCGGAGCGGCCGGCAGGCGGCAGCACGCGTCTGGCCCGGGCCCCGCAGCCATCAGCATCTCCTCCCTGCTGCTGCCCCCGTGCAGTGTTCCTGTCCCCGTGCAGTGTTCCTGTCCCCGTGCTTCTTTCCCGCTCGGCTTGTTAGGGAGTCAGCGTGCATGCAGCCCTGAGAGTGTGAGTCCAGTGCTGGTTATTGAAGTTGTAGCTAGTTGAAGACAAGTGGTGTGGTTCTTGGAATGGCACAAGCAAGGTCGTCTTGAGAACGTACCCATATGTCTGATACCCTCCTGGAAACACTTGGCAATTTTCTTTCTGTTCTGAAAATAGCACCTGTTCATAAATATTGATTCCAGAACCCAAGGTGCATTTAATCTGCAGAAGAACCTGCTCTTGAATCACACAGAATATTTATTCCTCAGAAAAGAAAAGCTCTGTTGTTACAGCTCTCATTAATGTTTATAGACAACAAACACTTGCATCGGTACTTCTTCTGATTTCTGTCTCCTGTGAATGTTTATCCATGTTTTCAGTTTCCTGTCCAGGTAACTCCAAAGGACTGTAGAAAACCAATCTTTGTGAAGGCTGTGTGTGCTGCAGAGCTGCCTGTGCTGGTTTTGTTACCCAACAGAATACAAAAGGCTCACAATCCTTCACAGTCACAAAAGGCAGTGTGGCTGCATATTGATCTGCTGGAAGGTGGCATCTCCGTTTTCACATGTGCATCTTTAATTTTGTTTCTTTCAGGGAGCATTGTGAGCGTGGGAGATCCTAAGAAGAAATACACTCGGTTTGAAAAAATCGGCCAAGGGTGAGTCCAGTCACAGTTACTGTTACAGGAACATGGGCCAGGTATTTTACTGGTGTAATATGAAGCGTGAAGTCAGGCAAGCTCCAAACATGTTCAGACCCCAGTTTGGCTAAAATCTTCTGTTTCTCGGTACTGATTGGAATTTATAAATGTGGTCAGAAGGCATTGTCATCAAAGACAGCTTGATGCTGGCATGCCTGGTCTGCAGCAAGGAGCAGAACCTGGAAGATCTACTGTCCATCACATCTCTAACACTTGTTTGCTTCTTCTTAGGAGAAATAGTTTTTGTATCTCTCAAAATAATATGGCCACGCTAAAAAAATATTAAAAGTTTTATTGCCTAAAAGAGCAACTTACCACCTTATAGTTGTCAGACAAATAACAGTTCTCAATAACATCTCTTTCAAATATTTTGTTTAAAAAATATTCAGTGATCCAGATTATAATCACATAGTTCAGAAACTGAGGCCAGAGGTTAAATAATAAGCTCTCTCTTCTAGCAGAGGTAGTAAAAAACAAGAATTCAGTAATAAACACAGTGTTGATGTACAAAGTATTTGATGAGGAAGCTCATCATCTGCTTGATCCACCACTTGTGGATTCTGCAGGTTTTAGGTGTTTACTGAAAACAATCAACCAGGCTATTCCCTCTGGAAACTCAACCTTGCTTACTGTAAATAGGATTGATTTTAATATTTCCTATGTGAGGAGGCAAGAACAAAAGAAATTACATCAAAATTAGGTACCTGACTTGCATTGTAAATATGGAAAGACTCACTACCCAGTCAGAGTTTCCTTGGCAGTGTTGTAATTCCAGGAGAGCTGATGCCATTTGTGTAACACAAGGATCACTGACTGCTGTCAGTGTGTGGCAGAAGCTGTTTTCTGACACCAGGAGATGTTTTTCTGCTTTGATTGCTTGTGAGGTTTGAACTCAGAGTAGCATATTGCTGCCCTGGAACTGATACATACTGCAGAAGGCCAGACACCCTCATGCTCTTTCTCTGGCAGGCTTTATCTTATTTGGTAGCACACTTGTGGGAAGATGTTTCTGTTGCATTCATTGCATAAAAACCCTTTCTTAGATTCCAGCTTTCTACCCAAAGCTTTTGTTCTTATTGTTATTTGTAAAATGTCAGTGGACACTTGGAGCTGTGTCACTTGCTCAAAAGATAAGTGTCAACTGAAGAAGTGAGAGTCAGAATAAACATGGTGTAAAGCAGATTATTGCTGTCACTGTAAGACTGTGAACATCACCCCTCACAATCTTTTATTTTGACAGTCCTAGGAGTGAGCTTGTACAAAGGTGCCTCAAGAACTGTTGGAAAGACAAGGGGCTAGGATCTGGCCTAAAAGGGTATCTAAATTTATTTCCTCCAGCCTTTGGTACAGCCTGAAGATTGCATGCCCTTCTTACAGAGGAGTGAGTGTGCTGCTGTAACCAGCTCATGACTGCAATGCTGCAGGTCAATTTACACTGATGGGGAAAAATCCTAAAGAAAAAAAAATGTCACAAAGATAGTTAAATAGGATGGTCAGGAGGATCCAGACTGCTGCACGGCTAGGGTTTGTATGTCTGTCTGCAGCAGGGCTGGTCTAAGTTGCACTTGAATGTGCTTGGTTGATGCAGGTGCCAGTTCCTGAGCTACCTGCCTTGGCAGGGAGTTGGGTACAGTTATGCCAAAGGCACTAGTGGTATTGGAAGTGAGTGTTTTAGTAGCTGTTGATAAGAGCACTGCAAGGCAGCAAGAGATGTGGCTGCCCAGAGAACTGCAGGTAGAGAGCAGCTTCTTACATAAGGAAAAGCAACTCGACCAGCACGTAGTACTTCATGGCTTCATACAGCTGTTAATACACAGTGTGACGGTTTTACAGACCCTTTGCAGTGAACAGTAGTCAGCAGCCCTGTGCTGAAGAACAGGTCAGCTTCACTGCTGAGTTTGTGATCTGTCTCCAGCTGAGGACTGAAAATGCTGCTAACACTAGAGAAAACGTAGTTAACTAGTGCTTGGTAAAGAGCCTGTGTTTGCTCAAGCAGTGTTAGCTCTTGCTAAAAATTCACATGAGTATGGAGCCATGAGCAGCTTGGGTTCAAGTTGGTTTTTAACTTGTACTGCACTAGATCACAGTGACGCAGATCTAATTGTGGGCCCTGGTACTTGCCTAGCTGCGTTAAAACCAAGATATTACAGAAGTGTTTAAAAGTTAGATATAGATCAGAAATTATAGTTGCTTAGAAGTAAAACTTTGCACTACAGAATCACAGAGCCCTCTCAATTAATTCACAGCTTTCCTTAAATTACTCACCTTTATCTAAACCCCTCACAGATGGCCTGGAGCATACCAAAAGCATCCTAATAGCTGTTTTTAAATAAACCCTGACAGGACTTTGCTCAGGAGGTAGAGCACAGTGTTTGCTAGTCTGCATAAATGGTGTCAGCTTTTTATAAAAACAAATTGGATTAATTTTGACAATTAGTCATAAGAAAATGCATTTGCATTTATATTAAAGGAATACATAGCATGCCCAATGAGAACATTGTTTTCCACACAGACATACAGTCTCTGGTGCCTGCTGAATTAAAATGCTTCAGAAATATTTCAGCCTGCAGGTAAACAAACAAGCCAGGGGATCATGCAAGAAAGAGTGAACTGATGTTTGTGTTTTCAGTCAGTGGGACACTTGCTGGGTGTGCGTTCCCACTGCTCAGAATTCCCACCCTGGCTCTCGCTTGTCTCACCGCCCATGCAGACGTGAGCTTCTTCAAGGATGGCAGTGTAAACCTGTGGTTTAGCTCAGAAGGAAGCCCCACTGGGATTTGCAAGCCTGGTTGCTTTTAAACCCAAAGGGATTTCCTCTGGTCATGGCCTTTCTGGCCTTTCACATCATTACAGGGAAGAGCCTGTTTTAATGAGAGGCAGATGGCAAACAGAACCCCACGCTGCCTAGTCTGCAGGTGAGCATGCCATTTATTTCTGGTGGCTCTGCAACACTACCTGTCTGCCACAGAAGCAAAACAGAGACATCATGAAGAGTCCGTCCTAACAGAAGCAGTTTCTGATGGCGCTTGACACATAAAGCAGTGGTTGAAGGATCCTCTGTTTTGAGTAGTTCTCTGTGTGTGTGAAACAATATATGCCTTAACCTGCTCTAGCTGTAACCGTGCAGGATGGTTGGAGAGCAGTTTATTTGCATGCTGGAGAGCACTGTGTCTGGATCCTTTGCTGAAATGTCTGTCACACATGTTCAGGATTCTAAAAATGACTGCATGGTGTTGCCTGGATTTTGCAGATAGATTCAAATAAGGCTAGACTGTATGTTACATTCCCTGGAAAAAAATCACACACACAAAAAAAGGAGGGGATGAACAAAGTTGTCTTATAAATGCTACAGGCAGCAGAGGTCTGTCTGGGCTTGCTTTCACTCATAGGGTCTAAACCTCTTCTCATTTCTTCACTGCTGTTTTATTTCTAGGGCATCGGGAACTGTTTATACAGCCATCGACATCGCAACAGGACAAGAGGTAAGTGTTGACAGTCCCAGCAGATTTTGCAGGTGTTCAGTGCTCTCCCCTCTGGTGAGATGTGGATAGCCTTTGGGTTGCCAGTAGATCTGCACTGGAAAGGCTGTTCCTCTGAAGCTCAGATTAGTGTCAGCCTGCAAAATACATGATCTGCTGTCTTGAGCTTTTCAGTGAAAGCTCTTGAAGGGCAGTGTGGTTCTGTGCCTCAGTAACTGAACACGTGCTGTAGCCATCCACTTTCCAGCAACCATTACACTAAGGTGTGGATTGATGCCTGAAAAGCTGCTTGTGAATTTCTGGGGCAAGTGGTCCCCCCTGGAATCAGTAAGAGTCTTGGTGACCCTGTATGCTTGGGCTGATGCTTCAGCGATAGCTTTTAAGGCCAATTGTCAAGAGAATTATTTTTTTAATTAACTCTGTCTTCAGACCAGGTTGGTACTCTCCACAGTGTTGTTGCTCCCAACCTGGTACCATGTTGCATCATCCCTAAATGGGTTTTTCAATGGAGAGAAATCTATAAAGAAATTCCAGCAAGCTTTTGGGCCTGATAAAAACTATGTAATTTTAACTGCAAGTGTAAATTTTTAGAAATTGTCATATCTCTGTTCCCCAGTGTGCAGGAAGCATTGATATTACAGAGAATGCTGGTTAATACATTTGATTTAACTCTGTATGTTTACAGCATAAAATCTGGCCATAGATCAGTTAGCAATACAAATTGTGAAATCTAAAGATCAGTGATAATGAGAAGCCTTGGATGAACCCCAGGGGTGGTCAAAGATTCCCCCGTTGCTGTGAGGGATAAATTGCTTCATTGCATTGCTTAATTTTGGGCAGGCTTTGTCCTTATTAACTATCAGAAGAATGCAAGGACGGAAGTGGTATCTTTCAGAGAAGGACACACGAGCTTTGTCTTAAACACTAAATATATCAATGCGTCATCTAACTGATGGAGGCAGCCCTCATTCAGTCCCGATTTATCTTAATCACTGGTTCAGATCTATGCTAGATTTTCCATCAAAGTATAATGCAAGACCTAATTAAGGAGAGATGGTGTTTAGAATGCAATTTGGTGTTTTAGTCAGACTGAAGCTGGTTGACACACACACTGACAAATGAGAAAATGTCTACCAAGAGCAAAGATCTCTCCTACACACCACGATTGTGTTTAGGTCAGGTGTCAGTGACAGCCCAGTATGGCCTGTGAACTGGTTACGTGGAAGTGGGGACCAGGAGGATGAGAAACAAATCTCAACTGTGTTAAAAAAAGTTACTCAGAGTTGCAAAATCAAAATTCGAGAAGTTAGAAAGTGCTAGGATTGTATTTTTTATTACAACATTTCATACATAATGTAAGCAGGTGTTTTCTCTCAGTTATGCAATCCAGTCATATGCTGAAATAATGATAAAAAATAATTTAATTGCTAAAAGTATTACCAGCTGTTTTTATGTGTTTTCACAGTAACAATATCATTTGCTGCTTGCAAAACATGCATGACTAATAATAATGGTGATAAGCTAAGGCCATTTGAGAAAATGTAGGTCCAGAGAGTGGTGTTAGAGAATTGTTGTTGATACTTTAAAGACGATTTCTCCAGATTTTACACAGCAAAATATGTTGCATGTGTCCTGTTACTACCCCTCAAGCTAGCAGAGAAGCAGGATGTTGTGAGGGTACTGAGCTCTGATATCTCAGAACAATACAGTTTGGCACAGCTCTGCTACATCATTCCAAAAACACTCATTCCACGTTCATTCTGATCTCATATAGCAGACTACTGAAGTTTATACAATTCAATGTCATTTTAGGTGGCCATAAAGCAAATGAATCTACAACAACAGCCCAAAAAGGAACTAATTATTAATGAAATCCTGGTCATGAGGGAAAATAAGAACCCCAATATTGTTAACTATTTAGACAGGTAAGTAGTTCTGGTATCACATCAATGTTCATTTACAGTGATTTGAAAAAAAACCACATCTTTGGTCACTGGTAGAAAATTGACCTCTTTATTATTTATATACTCATACAATATATAGAAAGATTGCATTTTTTTCTGCATTAATATTTTCTGCTGTATTGTAGTTTGAAGACCATTTTCAAAAACCTGGATCTGCCATATCTTAATAAAACAACAACCTATAAGTTCACTGTGTCCAAACCCTGTTGTTTTGTTGGTTGGGGATTTTTGGTGGTTTTTTTGTTACGGTTTTTGATTGTTGTTTTAAGTTGATATTTTCTGTGTCTTATGATAAGTGCTGATAAATCATCACAGAAATTATTTCTTTGGGGCTGTTGCCACTGTTTTCCATTGCTCTGGATGCCAGGAAGACCAGGTTTTTGTTTCCAGAAACATGTAACTTGCCAGGTTTAAATTGTTTTCCCTGTTTCTGAATGTATTTTACGTAAGTTTTTCCAGACTGTTGACCAGTTTCTGTCCTCAGTGGTACACACCCTTCTACAATGGACAGCTATGGAAGTTGGGTGGCCTTGTTCCTGAAGTTAATAATTTCATTTCATTTTTCACTTGCTTGCCATCTAGGATAGCTCATTTGTCACTTAGTTGCTTCTCTCCTTTCAGCTGCCCAGATCCTAAGTACTGTATAGCCCTAGAAGGTACCTCTGTTCATTTTAATCCTGTCTTGATTTAAAAATTACCTGGAAACAAGAATCAACTGTAGTGGTTTTCATCCAGTAATTTAGCTATGCACATTCATCTCGATGCTGTTGTTTTCTTCTTTCAGCTACCTAGTTGGTGATGAGCTCTGGGTGGTTATGGAGTACTTGGCTGGAGGCTCTTTAACCGATGTTGTTACAGAGACATGCATGGATGAGGGACAGATAGCAGCTGTCTGTAGGGAGGTAAGGGATCCCATAGGTGCTTCCCTGTTACTTGGACAGAATGGTACTTCTAAACAGGTGGTAAAAGCATGAGTGATTTCATGTTCAGAACTTTGTTTCTGTGTCGCTTTTATGATATAGAGGAGAAAAAGCATCTTAAGTGAACTGCTTGCCAGTATCACTGCACTTACTATACTCGTTATTATACCCATATACTGTTACTGTACATAAAATCTCCTTTTTTTCTTCTTTTTTTCTTTTTTTTTTTTGTTTTTCCTTTTCTCAACTTTGCCTCTTTAAACATTTGCCTGAAGCATGTCTGTACTTCATTCCTTGCCTGTAAAAGCAAACATGCTGGTGGCAGAATTGTAAAATAACAGCGAAGAAAAACAGACACTCATTTATCAGAGTCCTCAGCTTAAAGGATAGTATTCCACCCAAAATGGTCTTTGCTTCTGAAAAATGACTAACATGCTCTTTCCAAGTCTGCTGTGGAGCCTAACAATAAAATCTTTGTCATGGAACCTCCGACCTGAAAGTGATCCACTTTGTACCAAAGGAAAGGACTTTTTCTCTCTTGGCAAACAATGGTTTGTCATGTGGATGGAACTTTGCCTCTTTAAACATTTGCCTGAAGCATGTCTGTACTTCATTCCTTGCCTGTAAAAGCAAACATGCTGGTGGCAGAATTGTAAAATAACAGCGAAGAAAAACAGACACTCATTTATCAGAGTCCTCAGCTTAAAGGATAGTATTCCACCCAAAATGGTCTTTGCTTCTGAAAAATGACTAACATGCTCTTTCCAAGTCTGCTGTGGAGCCTAACAATAAAATCTTTGTCATGGAACCTCCGACCTGAAAGTGATCCACTTTGTACCAAAGGAAAGGACTTTTTCTCTCTTGGCAAACAATGGTTTGTCATGTGGATGGATACATCCATTGCAGCAGCAGCCTTTCTGTCTGTGCTTTGAGGGGATAGTCTGTAAGAATAATTGACATTTCTCTTTCAAAAGCTAATATGCATTCATTTAGAAAGTTATTGCTCTAATAGTGTAGAAGCAGCAAGCTATTCCTCTTGACAGCACAATATTCTGCCATTACTCACAATTCATCTAGAATTGAAATCTTTTAGAGCCATTTACTTTCTTGGGTGATGAAATCAGGTCATTAATTTTTACCCTTATGTTTCTTTTTTATCTGTCAGTGCCTGCAAGCACTGGATTTCCTTCATTCAAACCAAGTGATTCACAGAGACATCAAAAGCGACAATATTCTTCTCGGAATGGATGGATCTGTCAAATTGAGTAGGTATTCTCAGTCAGGCCAGTGTTCCTGGGATGTGGTGTGGTGGGGCTGCTTTTGGGTGACTGCCAGCTACCCAAAAGTGATGCCTGTGGTAGTGCACTGACCACTGCTGCAAGCTAAGAGTAGAGAGGCATTGGAAGGAAAAAGGTCAAAGAGTGGCTTTAGTTTGGGTACATCCCTTCCAGAAGGAGAGATTTACAATCTGAAGCTTCCAGTGAATAAAAGCTACCACATGAAAGAAACTTGAGGGGTTTTTTAAGTGGCCCATTCAGTCTTTCCTTTGCTACAGCAGGGAGTAAACAGAGCATGACTGCTTTTCCAGATAGATTCAATAACACCTTCTCAGGCATATTGAGGTTTCTGCTCAGTTTCTTAATTCAAGTGGCTTTAACAAGAATTGTTTTTCTCCTCAGCTGATTTTGGCTTCTGTGCTCAGATCACCCCTGAGCAGAGTAAACGGAGCACAATGGTCGGGACTCCTTACTGGATGGCACCAGAAGTGGTGACAAGAAAAGCATATGGCCCCAAAGTGGACATCTGGTCACTGGGGATCATGGCAATAGAAATGGTGGAAGGAGAACCTCCTTACCTTAATGAAAATCCTCTCAGGGTAAGGTGCAAATGAAATCAGATACCACTGTCTTTCTAATCTGTCACATGTTTTGTCTCCCATTGGACGAAGTCCCAGTCACATCAGCTTGAACTAGTTCCACCAAGGCCTGCTTCTAAAAGTGTCACCAGAGCATGTCAGCATATTCTGTAGCTTTTATTACATCAGTGGGAGAACCTCAAAAGAGAAGTGACATGTAGCCAGTTCAGAAATCTGCCATTTTTACCTTCAGGGGTGCTTGCAATTTCTCATGTAGCTTTTGAACTCTTTTTGAGCTGTATCTCTGAATGACAAGAATTTTTCAGTGGCAAGTTTCTCCAGTTGGGGAATTTTTATTAAAAGCATTTCAACTGTATCTGCAGGCATGAAAGTCTTCTTGAACCCAGATCAGTTCTTACCTGAGCCTTCAGGAAGTGCCATTGGTTATAGTAATGCCATCATTACTCATTACCAAATACATTTCTACTAGTGTATTTCAGCACAGATACTTGTAGTAAATGTTTTGAAGTTTTCATTTTTATCCTTATTCCTTAAAATGAAATGGCCAGTTCTTATACCAAATGAGCATGTAATAGGGGAGCAATGTATACCAAGTTAAAACCTCATGACTGATAGCTGAAACAAAGTTAAGTGCTGCATGGTTAATTCATTATAGGATGCAGGAATTTATGAGGAAATTAATCTTTACTTATGTGTCATGATTATATGACACATAAATATACATTCATAATTTTTGTTAAGGCTAGAATGAACTAGAGCAGGACCTTTAGCTTTTCTCATTGCAGTAGGGCTGTGCTTGCTCTGGCATCCACACTGGGCACTGCAGGCTTAAAAAAGAAACAACAGAATTGTCAGGAAATACCCCCAGCTGTGTTCCTTCATAAAGGAATACAACAATTAGACACGTTTCGGTCTTCCACTCTTTGAAGAAAGGTTTCTGAGGTTTTTTGGAAGACTCTTCTTGGATCATCCAGGGGAGGTACCCTGGGGTTTTTGGTTGCAGTGCACACATGTGCTGTGCCAGCTCCTGAGGGGGGATAAGAAAGAGATGGGTTTGGCTTCAGATTGATGCTGAATAAGCAGAGTGCACGGTGGCTGGCAGTGGCAGTATGCCTGTGTCACTGCAGCCCAGTTTTCCCAGCAAAGACTTTTGTACATCACCAGTTTTGCTTCCGTTTCCTGTGAAGGGAGGACCACGGAAAACCTTGCAGAAATGCATTTGCCTTGTATAAAGCAGGAAAAACGGGTGTAGATAATAAGCATTACTGGTCTGGATGCTGAAAAATCCATGCTTCCTGAGCCTTATCTCTGACCAAGTTCATATTCAGGTATTCCTGCCCTTACCCAAATTAAGTGAAATGCTCTTTTTCTCCATACATGCCTCTTCTCCTGCTGGGGTTAAGATCAACTTGAGCACTTGGAGCTTCAGGGCAGCTTCAGGTGTCTTGATTAAAATTGCAGTAGGTTGAAGTCAGGCATCTGAAGTTGGCATAACCTGCAGTAGCTTCCTGGCCTCTTTGCAGAGGTTCTTACTCCTGAGCTAGGAACAGTGAACAGCTTGTGATGAACCACCTGAAGTTCCCCAGTTATCAGCTAGTTTTATTAAGGTAAATAATGAACTATTTTCCAGCAATGACTGTGCTGGATATTTCTGTCATGGTATTTGTTTTATGTCACTGTGATTTCCTTCCATCAGGCATATACCTAGGGCCTGGGGACAAACATTGATGTGATAAATACCTTTTGAAATGCAAAAATGCCAGTTGGACCTCCCCAGTTGCAATTGGGAAACAAAAAAAAAGCCAAACTCTAAGCATTTCTGTTTGCTTTTTCATTTATTAACCACAGTGCATCAATTTTTCTTAAAACTGTAGCATACATTCCAAATGCTGTGTATCTTCTACAGTTTCAGGCTCCTAAATCATCTGTATATTTTTCTGTCATGTATCTGGGTGGCCTGGATAACTTTAGGATATTATTTTCACAGACTGCAGCTATAACTGTATGCCAGATCCTTTCTTGTTGGTATGTTAAACAAATGAATGAGCTTTTTGCCCCTTTGCAGCTACAGCAAACACTAATTTCCTTTGTATTGTACTTGTTTTTCTTTACTGGCTGTGCCACAGCAAACCAAAATCAGGGTAAGAAAGTACTTCAGCTTCCCATAGGCCTTTTTCTGTTGTTGTAGAAAAAAGGTATGATACCTCACTAAAGATGACTCTTCCTCAAGATCCATGTTCTGTGAAGAAGTGAGCAACTAGAAGAGCTCCATTTGTCCTGGCCACCCCTGCTTCACAGTTGGGTAAATGTAGCTGGAGTAAAATTCCCACTGCTGACACTGGTGCTGTCTTCCTTTACTGCAGGAGCAGCAGCATCCCTTGGCTGGCACAGGTTGGCCGTAGCCAGGACAGGAGCTCCTGCTCGCGCTGTGTCTGGCGGCTGAGACCAGCTGTGCGTGGACAGGAAAAGACTGATTCTGTGACATTTTGTTGTGGGAAAAGTAAAGAAACTTCTTTTTATTGTTTTCATTCTAGGATAGTTCATTTGCCTTTTTAGGCTTGGAAATTTTCCTTGGTATTTAAGAGGATAATAACAGTCAATTTGGTCATGGTCTATTGAAATGCCAGTAGCATGGAGCTGCTGTTATCAGGGCAGACATTTGTATGGAAGAGTCCTGGGCCTATTTCTGTATATCTTAGACATACTAAGTTTGAATAGTTCAAAACGTTTGTCTTAAGTTTCTAAATAACATCTTGCAAAAGCAAAACGAACTCATCTCTCTAGCTTCTCAGCATGTTTGGGTTTTAAGAAACTGAAGCTTAGCTTAGCCTGGAATTTTCAAGTGTTTGGACAGGCCTGTGTGCACAGAGTCAGCACTTGGCTGAGCAGCCCAACATGCATGTCATGGAAGGGAACTAAGAGAGGATGTTCTGAATGTTTCTTTGAGAGTCCAAGCCACTTTCTCCACATCACCAAGCCTGAACTTCCCATAACCCAACTGCCAAAACTTCCCATTTCTTCCCTGGCAATTTCTGGAATGGGGACATGAATAATGTATTTGCTCGAGTATCAAAATTAGCACAGGCTCAACATAGGGATGGAATTGCTAATTTTTCTGATGAGACCATTAAAAGTTTTTCTTTTACCACATAAATGAAGCTGATCTGGAATTTGGAGACTGCTGAAGGACATAGTTGCAGTTGGCTTCTGTCTGCCAATTATGCATTTCCTTCATAACATATTTGTGTGTGCAACTTGTATATCTGTGTTGAAAATGAAGTTCCACATTTTCCTGTTTCTTTATCCAAGGAACAAGCTAATTGATTTACCTCTTTTTTAGGTGGTCACTGTTACCAGGAACAGAGAAAAAAATTCTAGTACCTTTGTTTCGTGGAAGCTGTACTTCAGGGACCAGCAAGCACTGCAGAGATGCATTTTATATAATAATCCTTTAAAATAATAATGTTAGAACAAGTTAACTCTTTAACATAGCATGTAAAGCTTGTGTCAATACTTGAAGAAGCAAAATGTGCTTTTTGCTGATGTAATTCATATTAACTAGGTCAGCCAATGAAATCAGCTGTCAAGGCAAGAACATTTGGATGTTGGAATAGCTGTGGTTGCATCAGGGTTTTTTTGTTGATACAGAAAAAGAATCTCTAATCCTCTGCCAGGGAAAAAACTGCCACTGGAGACTGGACCTTAAAAAATGGGGTCTGTGTGCGCAGTTATGGATATAAAAGAAGCAGGTGGAGTCTGGTGTTCCCTGTTTCTCCAGGCGCTGTATCTGATAGCTACGAACGGGACGCCAGAGCTGCAGAACCCCGAGCGACTCTCCGCCGTGTTCCGCGACTTCCTAAACTGCTGCCTGGAGATGGACGTGGACAGACGAGGCTCTGCCAAGGAACTTCTGCAGGTAAAATGTCAAGTGGAACAGCTCATAAATGTTTTCTCATCAGCTAAAGGCATCAAAGGCATCAGATGGACTCCCCTCATACTAGTCTCCAGCATTGGTGCTTTTCAGATGAAAAATAATTAGAATCATAGAATGGTTTGGGTTGGAAGGGACCCTCATTGTAAGTAATAACTTCCTTAGATCTAGTCTGAATCTTCCCTCTTCTTGTTTAAACCATCACCCCTTGTCCTGTTGCAACAGGCCCTGTTAAAAGTTTGTCCCCATCTTTCTTACAGGCTTCCTTTAAGTACTGAAAGGCTACAATAAGATCTTCCTAGAGTCTTCTCTTTTGCAGGCTTAACCACCCCAACTGTCTCAGCCTTTCCTCATAGGGGTGGTGTTCCATCCTCTGATACTTTTTGTGGCCTTATTTTGTATTTTGGTAGTATATTCAGTTTTACATAGTGGCAAAATAATTTAAGTGGAATGATACCAGATAAGGAGGCCACAAACGGTGTTGGTGACTACCACATACAGAGGTAGGACCAGGGCAGAACCCAATTAAATCAGTCCCAGCCAAGTGGTCAGAGATTTGGCTGTGGGAAGGAAGGAACTGCGGGGTGCTCACTGTGAGCATTAGAGGGGCCTCAGCTTGTCCATCCTGCCCCACTTTAAGAGGTTTCTGCCACCAAGACATGGACAGCTAAGTGGGACTTGTCACAGCTCTGTTTGCTGCCTTGCACGGTCAAGTAGATGAGGACTGCTACAGGTTAACTACCAGGTTTTGTAGGAGAGAGGGGACTGCAGCGTGTGCTGCTTGGCTGTCCCTGCTGTGAAGGTGCCAACCAGCACAGGAGGGACAGGAGGTGGGATGGTAGACACTGCACTCACTGCAACCCAGAGCTGAGTCCATCAGCGCTCTCACTTGACTCCCTGCTCTAGTCTTGGTGCAGAACACTTGTACTTCAGTGGCCTTCACAGCACATGGGCCTAAATGCTACTGGGATAAACATTTCCTAGAAGTATTTGAGTTCCCTGAGGAATGACTTACGCCCCTCATCTTTTTTGACAAGGAAAACAGCCCATGTCTTTGGCATACAGGAACCTAAGGAACTATTTTGAATTTCCCGCAAGAAACCAGGGCCCTGGGACAGCCAGCAGCATGACTAGAGTGCTGGCAGGGCAAAGATCTCAGCAAGCTGAAGACACCTCGATAAATGGATTAATAGGATTATGGCCCAAGGCTGCCTGTGCTAGGAAGGTACTAGACGTGAAGGCGCAGATGATGGTCCCCTCAGTCCTATTTTTGTGCATTCTTGGTGACCAGAGGAATACTGCTTGAGCCTGTGAGTAACTGAGTTTGGAATATAATGGTTTCTTTCTTTTTTCCTTTGGGCAGCATCCATTTTTAAAATTAGCCAAGCCTCTCTCCAGTCTGACTCCTCTGATCATTGCAGCAAAGGAGGCGATTAAGAACAGCAGCCGCTAGCACTTCAGACTGGCTTTCTCCCAGGCCAGCTCAGAGCAGGACTGAGAACAAAAACTCTGTAAAACCTCAACTCTTGTGCTGCAGGACAGATGGATGGATGAACAAACCAGCGGTCACAGTCATGGTGGTAGGAGGGAGAACAACTGGTCCCTCAAGGAGTAAAAAAGTTATCATTTGTCTTCTTCCTGCTTTCTGGCTCCTTAATTTATTTTTAAGATGAAACAGGGCTTAGGACAGAGAGGTGATGACCGAAAATGCTTTGCTGCCTCAGCCACTTCCAAGGTAAAGCAAATCCAGTTGGAAGATTGCCTTCCTTCTCACCCTGTGAATAAGCTGTAAGTTCACTTTTAAATTGTCAGTTGTTTCTTAAAGATGGAAAGTACCTTTCATGGGGGTTTTTTGTATGGTTTGGGATTGAAGAAGGGTCTCCTTCATTAGTAAACTCCAGACTGCACTGCCTTTTGAATACAGCCCGCTCACTGGTATTTGCCCAGTCATGGTACTTGTTGGTGAGGAAGAAAGTGAAAATACATTTCCAACCAAAAATTAATCAAGACTGGGGCAGACAAAACATCCTGTTGAGATAACAGGCTTTCAACTGTGAATATATAGTGTTTTGGTTCTTGACAGTTCGATTTGTATAACTAATTGTAATCTGTATGCCTGGGTGAGAGTCGTACTTAGAATGAAAAAGCAGAAAGATCAGTCTGTGCTCAGAAAGGGCTCATCTGATGCAAAGCTGTAAGAGAAATCTGAGGTGACAACAGGTCCAGCCTTGCCTGGTGCTGAGTCCCAGCAGATCCCTTGCAGATCACAGAGCAGTCTCAGTGTCTGCAGACCCAGGCTGGAAGAAGGTGCCTGTAGCAGCCAGTGGCAGCAGATGGGTACTGGGTGCTTCCCTCTTCCTGGGACCAGAGTAACCATCCCGTGTCAGAGCCAAATGGGGCTTCTTTCAAGGTGAATTGTAGCCATGCTGTGAGCTGCTCAGAGGTGGGATGTACCAGCCTGAGTCTGTGCAGGAGTAGAGAAGGGCAAAACAGAACTGAGTACTGGTGTCACTTCTGAGGATGCCTGCTCTCCTCATCATCCTGTAGCTCCTGGGAAAGGTTGGTAGTGTCTGTGCCCCTTGCAGAGGGGCAGGGAGCTGGACTGCTCCGCAGTCTCGTGCATGGGTCAGTGTTCAGGCACACGAGTTCCACCCTGGTAACTGAGGCTGACACAAGTGAGTGACAACTTGCATGGTTCAGATCTGTGAGCCAGTGCTGCAGACAGCTCTGGGAGAAAGTGTGTTAAAACCTGGAGTTCTGCATGGAGCGTGAGAAATGTGTGAAATGCAAGGGGGATTGCAGAAATAGTGAGGGGCATCAAGCCAGCCTGCTGTCTGCTGTCCTGTGTAGGAGCAAGCACTGCTGAATACAGCTCTGAGTTGCTGGGAGAGAGGCAATCCTGGATGTGGCTGAGGAGTGTGCCTGACTAGTCCACTGATTTGTAAGGAAGCAGAGTAGTTTTGAGTATGCAATTTTTGTTTTATTTATTAATTTCTGAAAGAAAGGTGTAGTGTGGCTTCACTCAGAGAAAGCATTTGCATGGAGTATTGCTGTATTTTAGTAGTACAACTAATTAAAGACCTTCAAAACAGCAATTGAAGCAACACTCACCCAGTGAGCTCCAAAACAAACAAAAAAAAAAGCAAAACAGCTTTCTGCTGTAGATCATCATGTTTAAGCCTGGTCCTGCAAAAGGCTTGGTAGCCTTTAAGGTACTAACCACATTCATGTTTTGCCAGTAGGAATGAAGGATGCTTGGGCTGTTCTTGAATTAGGCCATTAGTTGTTTGGCTTTGGTTTTGACTTTTGTTACAGTCTTTGTGTTGCAACTGTCATTAATGCTGCCAACTCACCCATCCTTGCTTGCTCTGTCCATCCCAGTGTCTGGCTGAGGTGATGCTCGCCAAGGTGCCCAGCTCAGGATGCCTTAACCTTTCCTGAGTTCTTGGGAAGCACAACAGTTCTGATTTTCAGATGCTCAAATAACATGCTGAGGTGAGCACGATCTGCAGTGCGCAGGGGGTTTCCTGGATCAGAGGAACCTCGGGGAGAGCCAAGATTGCCACCAGCAGCTGGCAGCTCCCACCACAGCACCTGAGGAGACCTGGGCAGGGCCAGGAGCAGCAGTGGCCAAGCCCCCCCCTATAGATACGGGAATCACACCCTGCCCTCCCTGCAATGGGCACAGCAGGCAAACAGGACACATGACATGGAGGATTCCCTGTCCCCTCTCTCCACCTGGCTGAACATGGTGACTCAAGGGATAGGGGACAATGGTGTCAAGTTCCTGCCCAGCACAGCAGGCACGTGTCCTCTGTGACTGCCGCACAACAGGTGTGAGGCTCTGCAAGTGGAACACGGTGGGTATGTCTGCTGGAAATACAGTACAGTGGAAACAGTCCATCAGGTTCCCAGAGTGTGTGGAAGATAAGTTCCTGACAGGGAGCCACCTAGAGAAGGTGTTCTGCTGGACCTGCTGTGTGTGACAAGCCGGCGGGAAAGTGCAGTGGCCTGGCTGAACAGAGGGCTCAGCACTGGGGCCAGTTCTCATTAAGATCTTTATCAACAGTCTGGATGAGGGATTCAAGCGCACCGTGGGTAAGTTTGCAGAAGACACCGAGTTGGGTGGGAGTATTGATCTGCCTGAGGGTAGGGAAGCTCTGCAGAGGGATCTGGACAGGCAGGATCGATGGGTTGAGGCCAGTTGTATGAGGTTCAACAAAGCCAAGTGCTGTGTCCTGCACTTTGGTAACAAAAACCTTATGCCATGCTCCAGGCTTGTGGAGTGGCTGGAAAGCTGCCTGGTGGAAAAGGAGCTGGAGCACAGGTCTTACAAGGAGTGGCTGAGAGAACTCAGTTTGTTTAGCTTGGAGAAAAGGAGCCTGAAGGGAGACCTTCTCACTCTGTGCAACTCCCTGAAAGGAGGTTGTAGCAAGGTGGGTGCTGGTCTCTTCTCCCACATAGCAAGTGACAAGAGGAAGCAGTCTCAAATTGCACCAGGGGAGATTTAGATTGGATATTGGGAACAACTTCCCCAGAAGTGTTGTCAGGCCCTGGAAAAGGCTTCCCAAGGCAGTGGTGGAGTCACTGTCACTGGAGGGATTTAAAAGCTGTGTAGATGTGATGCTGAGGGACATGGTTTAGTGGTGGCCTTGGCAGTGTTGGGTTAATGGATGCTCTCTAAGGTCCTGTGCAACCTGAATTACTCTATTCAAAAGATTCTGTTTCTTTTGTGAGGTCCCATTTTTCTCTGTCAGCTCAAGGTATCTAAACAGGGCAGACTTTCTTGAGAGAGAGTAATTCAGGCTGGAGGTGGGGCTACCCTCCCTTTGTAAAGTGTTCATCTGAATGAAACAGGTTTGTGTTCTGTGTAAGAAGGGAAGAAACAAGTGACAGTTGCTATTTCTAGTTGCTAGTTGCTATAGCTTTTACTTTTTCTTGCCCACAGAGGAACAGCCAGCCATCCTTTAGCAGGAAAGCACTTTTTTATGGTACAAGTTTGCTGGACATACAATGTAAATATTTATGTTGACACACTACACTATTTGATTGGGGTTTTTTCCTAATTATTTTATTTTACCTATAAGTATTTCATGATCTCTAGTTTACAAATAGAACCACATAAATTTTTCAAAAGGTAACAGGTATGAAAAACAAAAAAAACCCAAATAGTTGCAGTATTTATAATTTTTTTAAATCAGTGTATGCCCCAGCATACAGAATATTGTTGGCATTGGCTTTTTAAAGACAACTGCTGTAGTAAGAGGCCTTACTTCTTATTTTATTAAATGCTATATTTATTTTTCTTTGCATCAGCAAATCTAGAGATCTTCCTTTGATAAGAATCTCCTGGGGGGCAGCGAGGATTCAACAGAAATCATCTCTGCCAGTGGCTGTTTTCAACATGGACTCTGGCTGCCCAGCTGAGACTATCTGACAAGCAGGGAAGGGCACCACTGGCATCCCTGTCTCTCTGTTCTTGAGACAGTCTCTGGCACTGAATTCTTAGTCACTAGATACTGGAAGAGCTGCCTTTATATCCTCCCAACTCTGAAAGGGAAGAGGTGTATTAGTATATTAAAAATAAAACAGTCCTGATTTACAGGCTCACTCAGTATGTTAAGGACTGACAATAGTATTGACCTTGTAGAAAGGAAAGGAGTTTTCTAACTGCTGTCCTCAGATCTAGCAATTAGTTAGATATATTTTGGAAGTATTAGAATCAACCCGTTTCTGTTTCAAAATGCTTAGGTAAACAGGTTTCAAACAGTTCCATTCCAGGGTTCTAAAAGATTGGTTGTCTTCATTTTTAAATTCATTCAACAGTAAATAACCCCTCTCCAGAGCCTGAGTAGTGCCCATCCCTGCATGAAGATGTGTGAAAATGGCCCAACAGCTTGTTGTGGTTCTAGTGCATTTTGGGACAGAAACATGACAGCAGTAAAGTCAGGGAAGTCTGAGAAGCACAGAAAAGTTTATTTATTTAAGAAAAAAATTTAAAAAAAAAAGGGGGGGGGAGGGGGGAGGAATAACCATACCTATGTACAATTCATACAGCTCTTGCATGCACTTCTGGGAGCCTGCATGGGGGTGGATCTTCTCGTGCCCTCAAGGTTTGATCACAAACAAACTCAGGCCAGGATTGCATTCTGACTTCTTGTGTCCAGTGCTTTTATAAACGTGTATGTGTTAATTCTCCACCTTTGGCACCTGGTTGGCCAACTTGCACTGCAGACAAATGAACTCCAGTAATTTTTTTTAGCTGTTTGTGCTGAGGCCAGTGGCTGCACCTCAGCAGGTCTTGTGGCAGTCTGCCCCCATGTCCTGCCACCAAAAATGAAGCACATTCCAGTCACCACAAGAAGGGAAGTAAGTACCTGTCTCCTGTCCCCTAACTGTAGGAAATGCCCTGTTTGTATGGCAGTGATTTCCAATATAGAGTAACGGCTGTTCTTCACACTGAGCATGTAAATACATGTATTTCTTAGTCCAGCTGAGAGCAAATCCCACGGGCAAAGAGCCAGCAAGTGCTCTGTACCTCCTGCCATTAAAAGTCTTTCCTCGACACCCAGGAGGTGCACTCCAAGGCCACCTGCGCCTTGCGGAAGGTTGTCAAGC